ATTAATATAATAATAATGTAATAAACTGTAATATATAAAACCAAAATTATAAAATAATAAAGTAACATAAAAATAATAAAATAATATATATTTTTCTAATGTAAATATATAAAATAAAACAAAATTAATAAAATATAAATATATAATGAATTGAGTTGATGTTTCAATTTCCAAACAATCAACACCCCTACTAAAGGGTGCCATTAGCATTGCCCTATTCTTAATATTCAACAAATTTTAAATAAATTTTGTAATAAACCTTTTATTAAAATGTCAATGTAGAAAAAAGAAAAGAAAATAAACCAAATTTATTATATTATGTTATAATAAACAAACTTGGTGATTTAGGAGAGGTTTGTACTTGGAGAGCTATATTGTACGGTCAAATAGAAAAAGAAGATAAGTAACAGTGTTTTTTGGTCCCTAATGTTTGTCACTTCAAACGGTTTGTCTCCTTCAACTTTGTTTTAATAGATTTGTCTCTCATGTTTGACTTCTCATAAAAAATTCCGTCCCTCCTCCTAACGGTTACTTTTTTCGTTAAATAAAGTTAAAATGGAGGGTATTTTGGTCTTTTTATCTATTTGCATAATTTTCCATTAAAATTAATAAGTAAAAGAATATATATACTACAAGGACCAAAAATGTAATTTAGTTATACATATGAAATCGTCTCTTTATCTTCACTGGTCGCCTTCCTCCTCGCTTTATCCAGGTGCTTTTGAAATGGGGATAATGAAGAAGTTTTTCAAGATAACTCCATCTCTGAACGATAGACAACTTTCTGTAGATCAATGGTTTTTTTAATTTATGAAATTATCAATTTCTGCAGATCGTTGGTTTTTTCAGGCTGTCGATTCAAGGCAATAACATATGTGTATTATGAAGTAATTTCACGTTTTCCTCCAGATCTAACTTTGTCTCGTGAGATTTCGCGGCATTACGAAAATATCATGGATCTCCCCGATCTTTACATAAGAATCTTGGAACTTGGAGATCTCGAGTAACGTTCGAGTTCATGTGGGTATTTTCTTTATTATGAGAAAGATGTTTGTTTGGATAGACAAAGGAATAAAAATGTCAAATAATGAATTTTGATTCCCTACAGTTTAATTTAAAATGAAAATTTAGGCTTTTGAGAGAACATGCCTATTATATGATATATGGAATCAAACAGTTTCTTTTATTTTTAATCTTATTAATTACAATTTAATACATCTAAGTCTCTAACAAAACACCCCTTTAATTCTTATAAACATAATTCATAAAACATCAAAAAAAAATATATATAAAAACAATTTTTTATATTCAGTGTTGTATCAATAAAAAAATATTGATGTAACAAACGATTATCATATATCAAATTTTTTATTAAAAATTTATAGTTATAATCAGTGTAATTTTTGATAAAGAAATGACTTAGCAACGGATGATGATAAGTTGAGTAAAAAATAAGACAAAATTTGTGTGTTTTTGGAGTTTCCAACAATTTGGATGATGATGATGTTAAAAGGGTTTTTGAAATGGTAAATGATGATTGAAATTGACGATTTCAAAGTTGTAGCTTTGAATCAAAGGTTTGTTGGCATGTGCATATGCATATGCACGTGCTTTCATGTCCTAAAATGGTATGTGGAGCGTTCCATTTTTCATCACCAAACACAAACATAATCATCAAATCCATCCAACCAATGAACTTCCATATCATCAATTTTTCTCCTTTTATTTTATTTTATTTTATTTTATGTATACATACATAGCCTCAAAAAGTGATATAAAAAAAAAAAAAAAACAACAAATTATATTAGTTATTAAGAGTATGTATGATTTACATAATGGAATTTGTGACGACAGACAAAATCCAAATATGAAGTTGTTACCTATTCGATCTCCATATTTGTTTCTTTGTTCGATCTTCCTTTCTCCATTTCTTTCCTTCTGTATTTCTGCATCTTGTATATGTTATTTGAATTTCTGCATCTGTATTTCTCCATTTCTTTCCTTTTGTATTTCTGCATAATCTTTGCATAAAGAATTGATGTTTGTTTGCATTCTATACTTGGCCAATGTCCCTTTTTGGTGGATAAAAGGTTCCTGATTTTGCAAAAGGTAACTGTAGCAAAGCACTCATAAAAAACATGAAATGAGAGGTTGTAATGTATATTAATCGGGAACTTGAAGATGTTTAAGTGTAGTAATCAACAAAGATAAAAATAAGAAATAGGTATTATGTAAATAATTATATTTAATTTGGATGTAGGGACATCCAAAAGCAAGAACTTTAAAAACGTCACCATTGGTATATCATGAATTATGTATAACTTTGTTCGAGGGGACTTCTGCTACTGGATCTCGTGTTTATGTCCTTAGTTCAACTCATGAGATGACTACGATTTCATCATCATCATTTACATCTAATATCCACACTACTCAAAATACTCAAAATGAGGTGGATGGAGATGAGGAGAAAGGACTAACTGTCGATAAATCGAGCACAACTCCGTCTAGACCGAATAAGAAGAGTAAAACCAAGGTCGTCATAGATAAATTGGCTTTAGAAATGAGAGGTGCACTCAGACACTTGTTACACAACAAACCACACTAGTTGTTATGAGACTTTCTTCGTGTTTTCTACTGCGTGTTGAATCAATTGACGTATTTCAATTGAATTTTGAATGATAGTTTACAAATAGTTTAAACGATTGGATATTTCAATTGCATTCAATTAAAATGAATTGATTCAGATTTCAAACGTTTGTCAGTTTACAAAAACAAACAGTTTGACTGGTTCAAATTTTAGACTTCAACACCACCTCTTATAAATCAAAAGTGAAATCAGGCTTCAGATTTCAGCATATCTGAAAAAGCAAATGCCACCTTATTTTATCGGATGAACATGACAATGAGAATATTTAAAAAAGATCAAAGTCTTCCATTTTTCTTTGAATTATTCCTTATAAGAAGATTAGTTATTTACTTAAATTATGCCAAAATTTAAGATTTCACTCTTCATGCCCTTCTTCTATTATTCAATTCAAATATACGTTGGAATCTTCCTTTTCATTTCTTCACGAGCTTTTAAAAAAAATAATCTGTGAACGTTTCACATATTCTTACACAACAAACCAAAATGATACATATATTAAACATTTGACACCAACATGATGGGTAAAGTCCCATTATACCACCAAACCTTCATGGCTTCACATCCTTCATTGGTTTTTTAAACCGTCATCGACCGATTAGAAATAAGTACCTTCCGGGGGTTGAACGAGCTTGCGATTATGGGGAGACACCATCTCTTTCTTCAACCGTATCAGTATATCTTCCATCGTGTACTCTCTTTGCCAGTTCCCCAATATCCCAAACTTCTTTGCTTCAACCTACAAACCATAAATTAAATGCATAAACCTTGAGAGCCAGCTCAATTGGCATATGACAATTCGACCTCGGAACTCCTCCCCACAGGTTGCCGGTTCAAGTCTCCTCAAGACCATTAAGAATTTCCTTCTTAAGGCCCCTCATAAAGATAATTAAATACATGATAAATGTTGCAAATAGTAATAGTTGTTACCACTCCGGTTTCATGGTTAACGCAAGTTATGTTAACCCGAGAATGGAAGCGCACACTAGGAGGCTTCTCCGGGTAATCTTTGTCGCAAAATAGCTTCAACTGGTAGATACGCCCTTCGTGTACAGACTGAAAACCCACAAAAAAGAAAGCATTTTTCTTATGTTCGATACAAAAACATAACCTTAACCAATCAGTGAGCTTTAGTGTCAGCGACTTTAAAATAAGAACCAAAATGCCGAGTGTTTATAAGCGATAGTGTCATCATCAAATCTATACTAAGTGAGACCTAACGATTCTGAGCAACAATGATGATTAAAGAATCCCAAGTATGCATCAAAATGTCGATTTCTGAAAAAAAAATGAAAACTCAAGTTGCAGAGACGGGAAAAAGATTGTTACGTTGTGAGGGCCAATGATGGTGCCTGTCCAAGATCGCATGTAAATATCATCACCATCGTCCATTCCATAACTCACGGTGCCATCTCCAATACCCTTTTCTCCACGTTCAAGCTCCTCCAGCAATCTGAAGTTTCGAGGCACTGCAAGAAACTTCAAATACTTAAAGCCAACATTTTTGCATCTGTAATTGATTCGAAGGCTTTCAACTCCAACCCATATTATAATTATTTAAGGTTATGTTTGGCAAACTAGCTGATATGCAGCAAGTTGTTAGATGATAAACTAGTCGTGTTTGATAAAAACTATATGAATAGCTAGACGATTTTCCATTTAAGTCTTGCATGGATGAAGTTGTCGGTGTGGATTAATCTGTCTGTATAGATTGAGATTATTTTTGTTTGGGTGATGGAAGGAGCGTGTTTTTTAATTTGGGAAGGCCAGGGTTGGAAAAACTTGGCTTTCTGCATAACCCACCTAGAAGCTTACTGAATAAGCCACTTTATAAATAATTAAGCCATTACCAAACAGACATGTATAGCTGACCAAATAAGCTATGAGTCTCATTAAGCCCATTAAGCTGCTAACAAACATGCAAAAAAAAAGACCCAAAAGCCAGCTTATCAGCTAACCTATGTCTAATCAAACGGGGTTTATTCAATAAGCTCAAATGAAAGATGAAGTTCTAACTTATTGGCTAATTACAAACTTAGATATAAGATCAGCCTATTCAAAACAAGTAAACAATGAGATCAACTCCACACTCGACATAAAGCATTCTTTCAGGATACATTTAGCCATGAACAAGATATTCAGACAGCCATTAATCACAATCATATTGAACTAAAAAAAGAAGCCACACACAGAAAAAAACACAAAATAATAGAAAAAGAAGCACCCCAAAATGAGTCATTAAGCCAGCAGCCTATTAAATTAAGAACAGCTGAACAGCTACATATAAACCTTCTATTGACATCTAGAATGAATTTACCGAATTTCAACTAATTCTTATTGGCTGTTTTTATCTTCACAGATGAATCAGAAATTCATCAACAGATAGGATCAACCCATATTTCATAATAAAAACAACAGATTTACTAATTAAGCATCCATCCATAATCAAGTGATCACAGAAGTAACTTCAGTGTATTATAGTCATTAGAAACGCCATAAACCCTCTACCCACAAATTCCAACAGGAAACATAACCCATCAACAGATCATAAAATTAAACCCAAAGCATATAGTAGGGTAGATATCGCAAACAAAGAAAGCAGATGGGAAATTGATCTAGGGTTGTTAGTTCAATGTAACTAGTTACAAACCCAATTGAAGAATCAATCTGGAAGTTACTTGAAACAATAAGGAATCTGGGACATAGGCGAGAAGATCGATTGAATATATGGTTGGTTGTATGAAAACGACTCACCGACGATACTGGATCCTCCTGAGCCAAGCGTCATGGATCCACTACAGAAATGGGCTGTTCTTTGATATGAAGATATGGATTTGATGAGGGAGAAACAGAAAGGAGAGATGGAGGAAGGATGTAAAGAAGGTAAAAAGAGGTGAGTGGGAGGGAATAAAGATGAGCAAAATACCCTTTAGAGCAGTGGGTCCGTCCAAGAGGACAACAACAAAGAAAAACATGTCTTTTCACATTTAACGAGTCTAACGGAAGTCACGTTTATTCGATTACTAATCCATCACTTTTAGTAAAGGAAAATTGCATCAAAATGAAATCAGCTTTTACCTTATTTTTATTTTAGGTAGTATTTGGTATGCAGACTGGATGAGATAAGACGGGACAGGACAAGATTAATTGTATGCCCTATGTTTGGTACGACTAGGGCAGGACGGAACAAAACTATTAAAATGACCATATTACCCCTAAATGTTGTTTAATGTTATTTTATATCATATAATGATTGTAAAATGACAACAAATCAACCAAAATATTATCATTTAAACTTTAGTCCCATGTTGTTTCACATTTTTTGGTGGAACAAGAAATATCAAGATTTGTCCCATTAAAATTAAAAATAGTCTCACTTTGTCTCATGTTTTTTTGTCCATGGCATGCCAAACATGAGACTATTTTTTTTGTGCCGTCCTGTCCCATGTAGTCTGCATACCAAACGCACCCTTAAGGAACTAACTTTCAAAATCGTTATTTTGGGGAACCAACTTGCACCTGATTCCTATATTGGGTAACCAACTTGCAAAATAATTATAAAAAATAACTAAAATTCATTTCTTTTCCAAAAATTAATGCAATAAAATCTATTTTTCATTTCAAATCTCGTTTTTTTAAATTCATGATATCAAATTGAAGATTTTTTCAAAAAACAATCCAAATTACCACAATAAAAATTGTTTTTTACTAATGTAATAAAAAAATCAATTTAGTAGAAAAAGATTAATTGATGCAATAAACAATAAATATTAAATATCACATTCAAGATTTTTATATCTAACCAATCCGTATCAATATTAAAGTTTAAATCAAATTTGGCAAATCAAACCAAAAGTTTGGTAGAGACCATTAAATTATCTGTTACATGTTCAACAGATCAATCAGACCCTTAAATAAACAAAAAGTTTGATAGAGACCCCTAAATGACGATTTTGAAAGTTGGTTCTCCAAAATAGGAATCAGATGAAAGTTGGTTCCATTTTGATGCAATTTTCCCTTTTAATAATGATTTAATGATATATAATGTAACTTATTCATTAAGTTTTTAGGAGAAGCTTTATGCAAAAGTTAAGTGTTTTCTAAACTTTTATTTCGACAAAAAAAACATGCTTATTTCACTTATGAAAAAAAAAAACTCAAACAAAAATCTTTCCAATCTATTTAAGCAAATAATTCACATATGCAGCTTTATCCATACATGATTTAATTAAACACCAAACAAACAACCAACTTGGTTTTCGACTGAGTTTACATGCTTCATGAAAAATACATGATTCATCGTTATCTTGTTATATATACATGCTTCTTCTTTTTTATCCCAAAATATATTCTTTTTTCTTTCTCTTTTTGTCAATTGTGGGTGTCTTGATCAGTTTTCGTACACTTCCATTAATTCCATGCATTTTGAAGACAGTTAGGAAAATCCTTAGTGGTCTACAGGACCCGAATCAACAACTTTTGAGAAGAATCCTCAAAGGAATATCTTTGTTTTTTGCAAGCAAGGAAATAAGCGTGTTTTATAATAAAATAAATAAATCTCGATCATTTTGAAGAACAATAGGTTGGACGACTTTATACTTGATTTGAAGTTATTGAAATAACAGGTCTTTACAAAGGATACTAAGCAAACCTGTTAATTGTCTTTTTGAAGTCCAATTATTATTGTTTCAATGGACCTCGTGCTCACTGTTTTAGGCATTGGTCGTGATTTGAGGAGCCTCACAACTTCTCTGTTTTGGTCTCTTCCAGTTGCAATTTCTTTTTCTTACTGGACGTTGTTTTTTCGCCTTTCGTAAGTATTTTAATATGAAAGGACGCATTAAGCATAGAAACTCAAACATCCCTTTTCAATTTATAGACCAAAGAGGGTTTTTTTCTTTTTTGTTTTCAATAAAGGAGGGTTAAATCTTTGTTTTTTTTTAATTAATTTTCTATATATATATAATAATCTATTTATTTAATAAATTAACTAAGAATAAATTACGTTTTTAGTTTCTATGGTTCGTTAAAAGTTCCAATTTTCTTTTTTATGGTTTTGAAATTACAATTGTTATCCCTATGGTTTTTATAATTTTTTTACATTTTTAGTCCTTTTAATTTATATATTATTATTTATTTCGTCCATATGGTTTACAATTCATTTCTATTTTTATTCTTCATACTTAAAAGTTAGTGTTTTAACCTTAGGGACTAAAATAGAAATAAGTTACAAAACATAGGAATGAAAAACGGAAATTTTAAAACCATAAAGATGCAATCCATGATTTTTAACAAATCATAGGGATGAAAAAAAGGTAATTTACTCATTAACTAATGTTACAAAATACGATTAATTGTTAACTATATAATTTTAAATGTATAAAATATGATTACTATTTTTTATAGTTTGTTTTAGTTATAACTAGAATAGTACTCGTGCAATGCAGCGAGATACATCTTGATTTAAATGTTTCATTTTATTCTGTCTCCGTCGATGTTATAATACGATTTTATTTGGTACTAAAAATCGATAATATTTTTATTTTTTGAATAAAATACAAAATTGAAGGTATCATATTTTTTCTTAAAATGCATCTATTTTAGTATTAAATTAAATATTTAAAAGTTTTTTTTTGTGTAATTTCTTTAATCAAAATTTTTATTATCATTTAATTTAGATTTAGTTATGATGTCATTTATTTTTGGTTAAATAATATAAGTTTTTTATAAAGATAAAAATTAGTATTTTATTAGAATTCAATGATTATTCTAAATATATTTTAGATTTTTTATACCTATCCAGTATTTGATTATGTTTATCTATAGTTAGTTACACGAATTCAAACATCCAACTTTAATAACTTGTACATACACACAATTTACTTGTAATTTTGAACTTTAAGTAATATGTATCAATAAACAGTATTTAATGCATAAAAATGGTTTTTAAAAGTTTTTATCAAATACTTTATAATATAGTATAGATAATATAAGATAATAAGTTTTAAATGAATAACTAAACAATATTTTTAGTTTACATAAGGAATTGTTTGAGATTGCTTATAAAAACAACTTATTTACTTATTCCGATATGACACCGGTAATAAACATTTTTGAGCGTTTAGATAAATAACTTATACCGATGCCAAACCGGTAATAAGAAGTTTTTAAAGAAGTTAAACGCTTTTAACTTATAATAAATTGATAAATAATTTTATAGAAAAACATAAATTGTTTCAAATAAACAATATCAAATATTTCGATTATTTGTTCTTTTAAAGAGTAAATTACCTTTTTAGTCCTTATGGTTTGTTAAAAATTCCATTTTTATTTTTATGATTTTAAAATTACGATTTTCATCTTTATATTTAATTAATTTTTTTTTTGTTTCTAAGGTTTACAATCAAATTTTATTTTAGTTATACATAGTTGAAAGCATTGTTTTGGATTCAGAAAAAGAAAATAAAAATGAATTACGAACTATAAAGATGAAAAACGAAAAATTTTATATTACAGGGACAAAATACGCAATTTTAACAAAGCATAAGGACGGAAAACGTAATTTACTTTTTTTCAAGTTCATCAAATCGCACGTGATGTGGTTCTTTTATGAACAGTTTAAATTTCGAGGGGATCGAAGGTTCGAGTATGCACATCGGAGAGACCTAGAAGGCCAAACTATCCCGGAGATTTGATTCATCTATAATCAGAGGCACGATTTCAATCGTTTTTCAGGTGACAATTCCTAACTCAACTGGGTATTACACACCATTTTTATCATTATTTGAAGTTGAAACTCTTGTGCATATAACGTGTTTGATAAATTCCCCTCTTTGAACTTCTGGGGTTTTAATATAATTAACATCTGATCTTTGGGACTCGATGAGTTGATTTTTCTTTTGGGTTTTCTTCTATGTATGTTATTAAATCCCTGCTCTTATCAATGCCAAATCCCTTTGTGCTGTTCTTGATAACATAATTTACGGATTATTGGGGTTATGTTCCACTGCACTATCGTTGAATTACGAACTTAATAAGTATTTGCAGTCCAACTTCACACAACGACAGAAATCAGACTGTTAATATCTAATGAGTTTGTTGAATGGTTTGCTTTTAATTCTTGGTACTCTATGCTTCAACTTCCAGGGCTTTTCTGTATAGTTGTCTTCCATTGTTGATGGATCAAGCTTACAACGAGGTGCAAGGAACATTAATTGAATTAAACCTTTGCCACCCATCTTGAGGTGAATTCATGGCTATCTGCACTAATCTTTTCTCTCTAAAGTTTTTTTCTCCATCTTGGTTTCTAATTTCAACCATCTCAAATTTTAAATTCCCCTCCCATTGCCAGCCTTTTGCTTGTGGTTTCTCTTCCTTCAGCAGATTTCACTGTCTTCTCCTATGCTGTTTGTCTACAACATTAGTCCCACCTTCATCTCTTAGTTTCCGTCCCATTCAAGCTACCGTTCCCCATGTTATCGTTCTACCCTCAACAACCCTCGTCCAATGTCAATGGTCAGAAACCTCCCTGAGTAAACGTCTCTCTTGATCACATTTCTAAATCTCTTCTAGTCACCCTTTGACCCCCAAACCTTGGCAGCTATCCCCTTTTCAAACCCCTTGGCCGCCTAACCCAACTAAGACTTCCCTTTGATCAACAAGTATCACGACCTTGTCTCATCTGTTCTTTCTCCTCTGGTCATATTAGCAAATTTTTCTGGCACTATTGTCCTCCTGCCAACTGTCTCCACATCATTTTTGTGAGGCACCATCAACCTTTCGCAGCTTCAACTCGTTGGCGGTCACCCTCTATTGCGGTGCCCTTCTCTTGTATTGTTTTCGAAGGGTGGTTCTGATGTTTTTCATCAGTCTTAAGATACTCTTGTCGTTTATTCTATCTTTTTTATGTTTGTTGAATTGGGTTTGCCTTGCTATAGTTATCTTTTGAGGGGAGATGGTGGTGGCATTTACCCCGTATACTTTTTATCTTTGTTCTGTCTTGATAAGAGGTATATGCAACCATTTTTATTGGGATTCTGTAGAAGTAACTGTATGTTTTTGTTGTCCTAGTCTCATATTGTTGTGATCATAACTAATTCTTAATTGGTAGCTTAATATCTTCTTGGGCTGGGTCTTTTTGTTATTGAGACACCAAATTGGAATATCACTATTGCTGCACAAGGTCCGTATTTGCGCAATGAATCGATTTAGAATGAGGCTAGTGGTAAATAAACAGCCGTTGCGTGTGCAGAGACACGTTGTTAGTCATGGATGACTCTGCTAGTCTCTAGGGATACCGACCAAATTTTAGTGGGGATGCATCTTGAATTTAGCCCTAGATTTTGAAAATATTTTGTCAATCACGATATTCATGTACAGTACTGCTATCCATGCCTAATGTTGTTCTATTTCTATCTATGAAAATTTCCAACAACACAATTAGAATGAACAGAGAGGTCTAGATATTTTAGAAGCTCTGTCTGAAATTGGTGCTAGACTAAAAACTATTGTTTTTGATCAAGTGTTCTGTATCAATGACAAAAAAAAGATTACCATTTTATCTATTTGAAATATTTTTTTACAAGAATACTATTTGATACAATCAAGCACCATTCACATCCAGTCAGACCCATCAAGATGCAAACAAGCACCACCAAACGTGACCCTGCAATTTTTTTCCGATATTATTGGTGCAAGAAGGGAAATTAGAGAAGGGAACAGATTACTATCTAGACACATTTAATTAAGCGTTTTTAACAAAATATTCGCAGGCAAATTTTGCACTCATCCTCATTCTCTCTAGGCTAACATTGTAATTTTTTTTTTTTTTGGCATTGTAAGATGTCTTTGCATCTTGGAAATCTTTCCTCTAGAGTCCGTAGAGACGAGCTTGAACGTGTTTTCCGAAGGTTTGGCCGGTGTAGTATACAAGTGAGGGATAAATTTGGTTTTGTAGTTTATGATTATCCTGTGAATGCTGAGAGAGCTCTTAAAACGCTTCGGGGAAAGAAGATATGTGGTGAGCTGTTAATACTTTCGTGGTCAAACAGGCAGCCGAGGCCAGTGCCCAGAGTTAGAGGTGGGAAATCATACGTTTCTCGGCAGGGAAGGAACTCCCGAAAAGAAAATTATGTTAAGGGGAAATTGTCATCAGATGGTCGACAGGATTCTAGGATGGGTTATAAGCAACCAGATACAGTTGGTAGAATATTTAGTCCAGCAGATGAACCTGAAGATGCAACAAATTGTGATCCAGACAATGCTGAAACTTATGGTATGAAGGAAGAATTGGCAGATACTGGTGTAGGTCCAAGTGAGAACTTCTTGGAAAATGATAGATGGGAAGAGCAGATCGATGACCCACCAAATGCAAATGAATTGGAAGATGTTTCAGAGTTTGACCGTTATGAACCTTACGGTGACGAGGACAAAAGGGATGATGATGAAATCAATCATGATGTTCATCAAGGTGGCTCGCCTACGGTAGAAGTCGTCCCTAAAAGAAAAGGGGTTGTGCAAATGCGAGAATTGGGTCAGCAGGGATGTTATAACTGTGGAGAATTGGGCCATAAAATGCGAAACTGTCCTCAAGAAAGAGCATCCAAGAAGAAGCTCAACAGGTTTGACCATAAACGAAATGATAAAAGCAATTACATCGGTAAAGGTGAAGATGAATTGAGAAGGATCAAATCTGACTCACGAGGAAGGGAGCGACCCAGTAGAAATGCTGTAACCATAAGGTCACATAAGGGCAGTAGAGAGGTGCCTAGTTATCGGAAGCATCATCGGACTGATTGTTCTCCTGCAGATAATGGAATCAATAACGAGAGAATTAAACGGACAAGGGAAAGTGAAAGTCCAGAAAGGCATCGTGCAAGGAAATCAAGGAGGCCGAACTCAAGTCCCATCTATTCAGATGGCAAGTTGTCTAGATCCAAGTCATGCTCAAAATACTCACAGCCCACCACTAGGTTTGCTTCAAACTTGAATTTAAAATCTCGTTCTATGGCTTCTTCTTCTTCTTCTTCTTCTTCTTCTTCTTCTTCGACTTTCAGTTCGAGATCACAGAGTCATAGATCAAGAAATCACAGGTCGAGGTCGAGATCGAGATCAGGTTCTAGGTCCCGTTCAAGCTCTCATGCATCCTTGTATGTATCCACATCGTCTGTCCGGTCTTCAACACCTTCTTTGACAAAGGCTGCTAGTGCTCCACAGAAGGAAGTAGATACAGGTTTTGAAAATCCTAAACTTGATACCATGGATACAAACCATATTCAAAAGTGTGAAGAAGATACCCATTTGGATGATGGTGTTACTGAGTCGATTCGGTCCCCAACTAGTCAGAGAGGAACTCCGGATCTCAAAGAAGAGCGAGTGACAGCAATGGTGAATCATGAATCAGAAGACGATTCAAGATCCGAGAAGAGGAGTAGTAAGTCGATGATCATAACGTCAGAAGAGATGTTGATGGTGATAAAACACTATGGGTTGAAGCAAGATGAAAGAACTGATGATAAGGAGTCGTATTTCGGTTGTGGCCGGTTGTGGCCGTGGGAGGTAATATATTATAGGAGGCTTAAAAAGGGTGCGATTTCAACAGAGAACTATGCACGGAGGATTTCGCAGAATCGAGAGTTCGGCATTGTTGATAAGTATGTGAGAAGCAGCAGCGGATGGGGAGAAGAAGTTGATAAAAGCTTGCATTCAGCATAAAGCTTGTTTAGCAGGTTAACATGTGTTTTTGATACTTGATGTTTGCTATATGTTCTAACGTGCTTTTTGGTAGGGAGATTGAATATATGATTACTCTTAATACCATTCAGTAGTATTTTTGAAAACATTTGATGTGATGTAGTGTGTCAAATCGACACAATTGAGTTTTTCCGGGGTTAAACCAGACCTTAAAGATATACCTACTTTTAAAAATTCATGGATCCACCGCAGAACTTTCTTCCTTTTTTCAGATGAAAAATCCATACAATTTTAGGAATATATAAATTTTACGTTTTTTAATTAACAAAATGACAATAAGACGAATGACTGTGTGAGAATGAGAGTTATGATGGGAAACATAAAAGAAAGATTTGAACCTCTAACACTTGGATTTTTAGTATGCATATTTTCGGGTTTTAAATGCATCTTTGACCTGAAAATAAACCTTAGTTGATGTCTTAAATTTGCTTATATTGGTATTCAATAGTTAAGAAAAACTCAAAATCATGACAATTTTCTACGCGCCAAAAATGTCTATTTTAAAGTATTAATATGTTTTACTTGATACTGATGTGTGGTATTTGGTGAGTTTTGCATATTTGGTACATTTGATTTTATAAATCTTGTGAAATACCCGTAATTGAGATTTTTGGATAACATAAATCATAAATGTGGGATCTTTTGATGATTTATCTTATAAATGAAGATTATTTCGAGACAATGCATTTTTAGTGTAATTGGTTTCGAAAATGCATATTGTCGCATTATGGGACATTTTGAAATGCAAATCGTATGATTTTGATTGAAAAATGAATTGTCCCAACCGATGATGGATTTTTGAGTTGATCATGCTTTTGGAGCATGTGTCTGCATAAATATCGGTTAAATATGTTTTATTATTTAAGATGACTTTGATTGAATAGTCAATTGAATTATTGAGCTTTTGGCTCGGTTTTGACTCAAATGAGTCTCGGGGACATTTGTCCGATTTAATTTGCTCTATGTCGAGCTTTTGGAGTTGTATGCAGTTATAACATATATTTGTAAGGTACATGCTTTGAGTGTATTGGTCATTCGATTGAGGTTATGTAATGTAGACTGTAGCACAATGGATCCATAGTCATATGAGTCAATTTTGGATGGGATAGTCATCCTCGTATTGTAGCTAGAAACTCGGATTTGCGGAGGACTCAATCTACAGACTGTAGGTGGTTGAACTTGATGATCGTGTGATCTGTAGCGTAGGAATCAAACTATAGACCATGGGTGGTTGAACTTGATGCCCGTGTAGTCCTTAGTGATTGTCATTTCTAGTGAACGAATAGTCTAGAATCGACGGAGGACTCGAGCTATAGATCGCAAGTGGTTGAACTTGATGACTGTTTGATCCATAGTGGAACTTATTAACATAGAATATAGCTTACTTTTCGAGGGAATCTTCTTCTTTAAGGTTGTCTTCCCATTCCCCTATCATTGAAAAAACACACCGAAGGAATCGTGGATAAAGTACGGATGGGATCCAAAGGTGCGTAACAACTTGGGATGAACTCGCAAAGACTCAAGCCGGGGACCTAGTCTTTTCAACGGAGGTTTCTTCTTGTCAGTATATTCGCCACATTCGATGGATACATGTCTCCCATTCGTCAAAAGGTGTTATTTTCGGATAGTGTATTATCCATGTTTTCCGTGTTGTTTTGAGTATGAAATGTTTTCCATGATTCATGGTTTTGAGTAACGAACCTTATCCATGTTCTGGGTATTTTTGGATATAGAGTTTTTATTCCTTGTTTACAATATTTGGACATTAAACTTTAATTATGTTTTGGAAGTGAGTATTGAGTTTTGAATTCATATTGAATGGATATTTTAATTTAGAGCTTTCATCACACAATGGTGGGTTTTGGAAAGATGTTGCTTTTACGATAAAAACATTTCATTTGACAAATCATGTTTTAAATAAGCAATCTTTAAGTTGTATTGTTTTATAATTATGATGAAGCTGTTTGAACTCACTATATGCTAAACATAACCATTTTTATTTGTCAGCATGTGCATCAGGTCCTTCTTAGGGTTTGATACTAGCGACATTGTGATGAATCGAGTGCTAGTTAGAGGCATGAGAAGGTTCTAGCTATTTGGGGACATCTTCCTTATGTTTGGAGATTAGGCATTTTAAGATGGAATATCTTGAGGTCAAAAGAGATAGTTTCATCAATGGTATCAAGGATTTTCACGTATGGTACTTTCATAGTTGCACTTGCCCAGTGTTGTTGTGAATTTACAGGTACATGTGTATGCTTGAATCACCTTGTTGCATAAATTATTTCATGCTCTGTTAAATATTTTAATTTGGTTTTGTCATATTACGAATTTTGGAGAATGTTTTAGCACACCCTAAAGTGTAACCCATGTTTTAAGGTTCGATAGTTCTATTGTATATTATTTGTGTACAAACTTTTGTTAGATGTTTTCCCTATATCATTTTACTAGCATTATTAAGTGTCGGAAGCAATACGTTGAGTATTCCTAAATTTGGAACTAACATAAATCATTTCATGCTTTAGTTGAGCCGCATGTGCTTGATGAGTTACACATGTTGATTCATAAATTGACGCACATGATAGATATGGGTCAATTTTTGAATTGGTCATGCGCATCTTATTACTGTTGATCTTCAATTAAGAATGATCCAAGGGTGAAGATCATTTCTTATCATTCTCATCATAATTCCATTCGCACTTGAGCCTAACCCATAACAATAATACTCTATTATAAAAAGATAAATTTTCTCCATCTAGAGACATTTAGTTTTAAAATCTGACACTTATTTTATAAACAAACTAAAATATTAAGATAGACATTTATTTTAGGACGTAATTTATATTCATACAGTCAAAATCAGTTATGTTGTAATAATCATTTTTCTTTATTCTTTAAGATACTAGAATGGTATCCGTGCAATACAGCGAAATATATCTCGATTTTAGTGTTTCGTTTTATTCCGTCTCTGTAGATGTTTTAATACAGTTTTTATGTGGTTTTGAGAAAATGATAATGTTTCTATTTTTGAATAAAAATTTAAAGATATTATAAAATTTCGAAAATAAATATATCAATATTAGTATCAAATTAACTATTTTTATTATAATTTAATTTAAATTTAATAACTAAGTAATTTATTTTTGATTTAATAATATATTTTTTTATAAAGATAATAATTAAGTATTCTGTTAAAACTCAATAATTATCCTAATTATATTTTATTTTTTATATTTAAAATGAAATGTTTATCTTGTATTTGACTATGTTTATCTACAGTTAGTTACACGAATTTAAACATAAAGTTTTAATAAGTTGTATTTACGTACAATTTATTTTTAATCTTGAATTTTACGTAATATGCATCAATAAACAGTACTTCATGCATAAAAAATGACTTTTAAGAGTTTTTTGTCAAATGCTTTATAATATAGTATAGATATATATAGTTGGATTCTGGTGAGAAAAGAAATTATTATGAGAATGGATATCCACCCCTGAGATGTACCAAGATGCACCAAATCAATTCTCATGGAAAACATAATTTATGGATGGGGTGTGATTAAAAATGATCAAGGGTCTTGATCTCTTCTCACTTTTTCATTTTAACTGTTCTTCTCATAAAATCATTTATATATATATATATATATATATATATATATATATATATGTATGTATATATATAATAGTCATTAAATTGTTGTTTAACTTTCTTGTGATTCATTCCTAATCCTTTGATTGATGATGTTTTAGGTTTCTCTTTTTTAATTCAATATCACTCCATGAATCATGTGTTGTAAATTATTAAAATTTAATTATTATTTTCTTTCGTATCTATTTTTTCTTTAACCTTTTCATGGTAACCAGATAAGATATCAATTAACTAAACAACACAAATCTTTGTAGGCAAATAATCATAAACCTTTATTTCTAAATAAATATCTACGTTATTATTTTAATGTGTTTATTTTTTTAAAATAAAAATCTACTTTTCTATTCTACTCTTAATTAATTATTTATGAGGTTGAGAAAATTTCTCTCTTTATATAATTAAGTGTAAAATTATCTTTTAATTAATTAATAAAAATATTATAATTACATTTTTAAAATTATATCTTTTTATTATAAATATTTATTTTAAAACGTAGTTATTTTTTAATAAACATTTTACTTGAAAGTAAACTTCTTGTTATCTGCTGTTGTTGTTGGATTTCATTTAAAATATAATTAAAATTTCTTTTAAATATAAAGAAAAAGTATGGTCGTGTGATGTATTTTCTTTGACATTTTGTTTTCATATTTATTGGTCAAAGAATTGACCTTCTCATTGGTCAATTATGGAACTATCTGACGTGGCATCTTATGAATGTATACAAACCGACCTATACTCCACCTCCGTTTGACACCGCTTTATATGTCAATTAATGTCGTATTTTTAAGTAAATTAATTTTTTCCATCTTTGAAATTTATTATATATATGTCGGTAATTTTGAAATCACGGTTTTTATTCTTATGGTTTATAACTCATTGTTGTTTACATAATTAACCATTACGTAATATTACCCATATGACCCCTCTACGAGAAAGACTACAGGGAATATGCTTAAAGATTCGTCAAGTCAACTGTCAT